GCTCCTGATAAAACCTGATAAATGTGAGTTATTCATTTTGTCATTTGGTTTAAGTGCTGTTGCTTCAATATTTGATTTGATTTGATTTACAGGAGTGTTCTCCATATGCTGCCCATCTGTACGATGCTGAAGACCCACGAACCCCGCTGAGGACTCTTCCTGGCCTGTGCTTTGATTACTGCTCTGATTTCTATTACAACTGCCAAAGTACCATCTCCCTTCTCACCAATGATTCCACCATAAGGGAGTCAGCAAAGGACATGGACCAGTTTTGCAATCTCATGGAGCTGCCTGATCCAGATTACTGTTTCCCAGATGTGATAAAAAACATGGACCTCAACAACAGGCTCGGGGCTGTGGTGGTGGACCAAGAAGGATGTCTCAAGATGTGTTTGGTGGAGGTTGCCAATGGCCTTAGAAATCCTGTCCTCATGATCCATGCTAATGATGGAACCCACAGGATGTTCATAGCGGAGCAGGTTGGCATAGTTTGGGTCTACTTACCAGATGGCGGACGGTTAGATGAGCCCTTTCTATACTTGCAGGACAGCGTGGTGTCCACTCCATGGCATGGAGATGAAAGGGGTTTTCTTGGTATGGCCTTCCACCCAAAGTTCCGATACAATGGCAAATTCTATGTTTATTATTCCATCTTGGATAACGAGTATGTGGAGAAAATCCGAATCAGCGAGTTCCGGGTTTCACGCTATGACTATAATAAAGCAGATCGGAGAACGGAAAGGTAAACAAAATCAGATAAATATCATAAAAAAGACTTTTAATTGCTTCTTAGGCAAATGTACGGTAGAGAGCAGCTTGTTATCAATAATAAATGTGTTAAAGTTGTAGAAACCTTGTTCATGTAGGCAGGGCCGGCCTTAGGCCTTTAGGCGCCCTGTGCGAGAAAGCTTTACAGCGCCCCTCAGTGGCCACACCCTTTAGTGGCCACACCCCTGTAACCACACCCATTTTCACCCAATATCCGCACCATTTAAAGACTCCTATTTTGTTAAGCCGCAAAGAAACATATTAAAAAGTATGATAAAAATAAAACTTTTATTCAAAGGTATTAAACTTGTCGGCACAATAGAAGTATTCTTATCAAATAAAACAACAGAAGGTAAACAATAAATGTCAAACTACAATAGAATCTATAAAAATAAAGTGTCAGGTTGTCATGCCGATCCCTTTTTTCAAGTAAGTGCATTCGGACGAGGGAACGCTGTCATATCGGATGGCCAGCGGTGAGGGGAGAGAAGCCCCCCACAGGACGAGCTGTGACGGCCGCACGGCGCCCTTGTTGCCATGGCGCCCTATGCGGCCTCACGGCTCGCACACCCCTAAGGCCCGCCCTGCATGTAGGTGGTCTCTAATATATGTGTAGATTATTTTTTTCGTTTTGGATAGATTGGAAGAAAAATTACTCTCAAGTCTTTTTTTTTCTGTCTGTGTTTCTTTGGGAAATGTCCCTTCACTTTCTGTCCCAGAGACACAACAGGAAGTGAGTGGAAATCTCTCCAAAGTGATGAACTAACAGGGATTTCTAAGGCTTTGAGAAATGTATACTTTGTCTATGACAGTAGTAATTATTTGCTAGTTGATATTATGTGAGAGATTTCCTCTTATCTGTCATTGTGAAATGGGCTGAGGATTTTTGGGGCTCATTCTCACCATGTTGCTGTAACATATGCACCATTGTTCATTATACATTGTGATGCATTCTGTTACCACATTCCCAAGCTCTTCCCCTTGTGCCATGTGATTGTTTCAGTAAAAAATATAGCTAAAATGAGCTATTGGAGGCAGCATGGAGTCTGCTTAATATACCGGACTACTTTAATGGTACAGACTACTATACAAGTGAACATAGAGATGGTTTCATGTTGCCTTGTCTGTAAAGGGTCTAAAGACTCCTCTCCCTGACACCTCCTACAGTTCTCCAGATGAATTTAGCCACAAATGTCCATAGGTGGTCAGGAGATGGAGACAAAATAAGAAACAAAAGTTGTTACACTTTGTAAATTTGATGCTTGGTACCTGGCTGTCGTGCTGCCTATGATTTTAATACTTTGAGTCTGCCACTAAAAATATGTACATAAGGACTTTACGCTCAATCTACTGACCTGTATACTGGTTCAGGGTCCGTGACTAAGAAAGTTCTAAAGCCAGAAAGTCAGTATAATAGACTGGAAATTAGCTTTTTAAAATGTGGTCAGGATTGTCAGCCCGCATTATTTCCCCTAGAAATTGCTCGCTTTAAACCTGTATCAGAAGCATTGAGATTTCAGGAGCTGTCCAGCACTGACCCTCTGCTTGTTTAAGTTCTAAAGGCTTTATTGTTACTGCTTTCAGCCTAAGATACAAATCTAATAGCAAAATACATCAGCCAGGAGATTCCAGCCTGATAGGTACACTAGGTATATAAGTTGCCAACGTCTAAGCTAAAGGGCGAGTGAATGTGCAAACATCTGCTATGTTGATGCTGTCAATGCTGGGATGGTATTTCAAGCTGAGAGGCCCCCATCAGTACTTACTAGGTACATATAGGTGAAACTCCAGAATCCAAGTGCACTAATAAAGTGATTTATAGTGCCATAGCCATGTGAACTGTATGGGTTAGATATGCCCCCACTAGTATGTGTTAGAACTTCTTGCACAGCCTCACAGAGAAACACAAGCACACAGTCTGATATGCATGCTGCACATGGCTTGGAAAAAGGAAGGAAGCCACAACTTTATTCTCTACCTTTTTCAATACAACAGAGTATATACCATAGATATAACAGAACGTATAAACACTGCCATCTACTGACCAAAAATTTATACTGCAGGAGTTATTGCAATAGATACAATAATGTGTATTCTAACAGTATTTAAAACATATTAGCTATAAAGACCTAATTCCTATAAGTGGTCCTAGCATCAGATATTAATTTCATGTTAAGTGCAAGCATGCTAAGTAATGATTAAGTGTAACACTTCTCTGTATTTATTACCTCTCACAGAGGACATAGTGCTCCTCTCTGTATTCAGGCATCATTCAGGTTCACCATCTACTTCCTGGACTGGGATGCCTGGTCAGAGATGACGCAATTATGTTCTGGTTTTAATTCATGTCCTGAATAGCAAACGATAAAACCTGACATAACCTCTAACCTACAATCCTTCCTACTAATGCATCCAAGTTCTAAAAATTCTTTTGGCTGGAGTTGGGTTTTATTTAGGTTTCTTTTATGCCTCACTCAGATGCAAAATTATTCATAAAAAGTATTATCTCTCCATTTAAAGGAAAGGAAGAGTATGTGCCTTACTCATGGCAACCAATATACTGTAACTCTACCCTGCAAGCTCTACTAGAATCTGTTTGCCAAAAACAGCATAGATGATTTTCTTCATTTTTTTAGAATTCCCTAGTAAACAATAGTTAAAGGAAACAAGGAGAGAATATGGAGGATGCTATTGGTGACCCTACTGGAAAACACTAGTTGCCTAACTGTTTTGTAGTGACCTGGAACAAGGAACCAGGAGCTCCAGCTTCAGTCTGACTTTATAAATGCTTGTCCTGGGTTGGGGGCCTCATATAGCAGTGAAGGCAGAGACAGCCAGCCAATTAGTAGTTTTATAAAGAGGTCACCAATGGTATTCTACTATTCTATAGTTCTTTTAAAATGTTAGTATGGAGAACGCACAGCGTGTAGTCAGTCTTCACAATGATATCTAATTTCTACATTATATCCTGCATAGGTATATTTTGGAGGTTGTACAACCCGCCAGAAGCCACAATGGGGGTCAGTTGCTGTTCGGCACTGACGGATATCTGTATATATTCACAGGAGATGGAGGGCAACTGGGTGATCCACATGGAGAATTTGGAAATGGACAAAACAAGTAAGTCACAGAAAACATGTAGAATGTTTCTAAGTCATCTAAACCATAAGCAGAGCTTTTCCTGTTTCTGCTGCAGAGTCCTTCTTCTGTTGTCATTAAATGATTTTAGTCTTGCTGAAACATGCATTGGGGATAAGTAGATTTGGGGCTTGGTGATACGCTACTTAAAGACTTAGTGCTGACATTGGGGGCAGGAAGAGAGTCTGAAGCCCTATGAGCTTGGAGCTTACACAGGCCTAGCTTTTTTCACTCCTTGTGGCCAAATAGTATAAGTATAAACTGCTGGTTGGGCACCTATTAAAATAAACCTAATGCTTTGCCATGCATTGGGCAAAGAACAGGTTCACGGTAAGGCTAACCATAGGTCATCAGATGTCTCACTGAGTGCAATAGAAGAAATGTGTCCATCCTAAAACATGCTCCAATCTTCATGCACTAGGTACGTAGCATGCGTGTGCTCATCATCTCATGGATTGAAAACAGTGAAAGGCTGGCCACATGACAAGGAGATGTGTTGGAAGATTTTCTCACCTAGGGTTCCTCTCATGGTTCTTTCCCAATAATGACATCAGGCTGGGAATGGGATGGGGCCATGGAAAGGTACTCTAAGATTTTTCAGAAATCCACATGCAGGAAACCTGTTCTAAAAAAATGAACATATTTCTCTTCCACAGTTCACCCTATATAATATATCTCATCTTATTATTATTATTTTTTTTTTTTGCAATATATCACACCATCATTACCAGGAGCTTTTGCTTATCTTAACCTCCTGGTTAATGACTCAGCTTTTTTTTTGGTTTTGTTATCCTACATATCTTTAAAGAGTTGGTGGCTCTGCATTAATTACATAATATAGGAATATGGCATTTTTCACATTGTTGATATTCATGCTTTGACTCCTGGAAAAACCTATGGAATTCCAAAAGACAATCCGTTTGTGTCAGAATGTGATGCCACTCCTGAGGTCTATGCCTACGGGTGTCGTAACATGTGGCGGTGCTCCGTGGATCAAGGCGATCGGTTGACAGGGAAAGGGAGAGGGAGGATATTTTGTGGAGATGTCGGCCAAAGCAGATATGAAGAAATCGACATCATCCTCAAAGGTGGAAATTATGGATGGAGAGCCAAGGAAGGGCCTGAATGTTTTGATATCATGCTATGCCTTAACTCCTCCTTACGTAAGTGCCCTATATTGTGTCTTGTCTTTTGGCCCTGTATTCAAGTGATACATATTTCGGTCTTCTGAAATGTGGCCTGGATATAACAGTGGCATATAGAATTACCTCCTTAAAGTGCCAGACTATCTGAAAGCGGTATTTTAGTCTGGAGTCTTAGTGGAGTTTGGTAGGCTTTTTTATAGATCTTGAATACTCCAACAGTGAGATCTCTGGTTTATTTTCAAACTCTTGTTCACCTGTGAATGTGTGAACCCTTCATAATGGGCACAAAAGATCTAAGAGTCCCTAGAGTCCCTAATAGACACTACCAGGTGGATTAACGTTAAGTATCTACTATCAACTAAAATATCAGCTTTCGGTGGACTGACCTTTTAAAACAGAAACGTTATACCTAGTATAACTTTAATCACCAACCAAACACAAGGGATTCATTCATTGCTTGAGGATGGTGAGTGGGGCTTTGCAAATCAATGGTAAAGGCTAAATTGTATGAGAACCACACACATGTTCTTGTGCATGGTGAGGGTTGCAGTGATTCCCACTTAGAGTAAACATCATCTGAAGTGTCCCCAAAACAGGGATGAAATGTGGAGACCCTGATTCTCTGGACCCATAAGTAACTACATCCCTGCCCCTGTAATAGAAGTCACCAGCACTCGATGACTCGCCCCTTCTTCTGGGCGACATAGGTGGTTGGATCACTATGTCGCCCAGAAGAAGGGACCCTGTGTGGCACCGAAACGTTGGCTGTATGACACATGTGACAATTTAATAAAAAGTGCTTTACTTCTTGCACATATCATCAAGTGATGGGGACTTCTAGTATGGACTGTATCTGACACGCCGCCATCCGTGTTGTCACTTCAAGCACCAACCTTCCATTAAGGTCTGTATGCTGTATGGAGTGCAGGTGATTTCGTATTATCGATTACATCCCAGCCCACAGTTTCTCTGTGGCTTCAGGATATACATATGTTGAATCAAGGCTTGTAATACACTGGCCCCTTTTTCTTGTTCAGCCTGCAGGGCTCGAATTTCCCATCCATGCCATTCAGCATAGATGGGGGAATCCCTTCACGCCGGGCTACTGCATTCTGACAGTGGCAGGTCTCTAGCTGGGCAGTGCAGCAGCTTCCACATGGGCTCAATGAGTGTTGAAGAGTTGGCCTTTTTTAATTTAAAACACAATGTGGCTTAGGTACATGGACCTCTACATTTACTTATAGACATTAGACAGAGATGCACTATTAGCCTTAAAAACTAACCTCAGTAAGTAGTAAAAATAAACGTTGGTGTCTGAAGAAAGCAATAATTATTTCCAAGTCCATAGGAGATAACACTTTTTTAAATTGATAGAAAGGTCACTTCCTTTGTTTGTCACTCTGCCTTACCAGAGACCCGTACTAAAGATTTAATTTTTAATTTTGTGTCTATAATATTGTTTAGTCCGTTACAGGTCCTGACCCCATTTTTTCCAGATAAAGAAATTCATATTTTGTGTATTCCTTTTGTAGCTCTTTTTCTGTGAGTTGTATGTTCATGACTATTTTATTTTATTTATTTTTTATAGATGATATTCCCCCAATTTTCTTTTATGATCACAATGTTGGCAAGTCAGTGACTGGTGGGTATGTGTACCGGGGTTGTGATTCTCCAAATTTAAACGGCCTTTACATCTTCGGAGACTTCATGAATGGGTAAGAATAGAGCCAATACTATCTGCATATATCACAGTTATACCTGTGTGACCTATTGCAGTGAGTCAAAGGGGAAATCTTGGCTCAGTCAACACAATGCCTCATTACATTGTAAAGTCTGTAACGCCATCCCCACTGAATGTTAACATTTCAGTTTCGAGTAGACATTTGCAATTAGTTTCAAATAAAAGTTTGGGCGAATTTTCAGAAATTCGGACACATCCGAATTTCCAAATCCCAATGCATCCGAATGTGTCAGAATCGGAATTTCCGTTCCCAAATTTTGGATACCGTCCGAATTTCATTCAAAAACAAACTGAACGCACATGTAACTTTTCTGGCCAATCAGATGTGTTTTTCGGTTTAATGCATCCAAATGGGTATGAACACGAATTTTCGTTACGGCAACATAGGAGCCATATACAGTATATACATATCATACTAAAGCTGAGGCTCCTAGACCCGAATGCCATACGGGTCAGAGAGCCTAAGCTTTAGTAATATATGTATATGGCACCCAGAGCCGAATGGCATTCGGGATCAGAATTTCAAAACTGCACTCCCGAATGCCATTTGGGTCTGGAAGCCATATACATATATGTCTAAAGTTGAGTCTCCCAGACCCAAATGGCATTTGGGAGCTCCCGAATGCAATTCGGAAATTCGGATCCCGAATGCCACATGGGCTCAGGAGCTTCAGCTTTAGTGTTAATATCTGTGTATGGTTTTCTGTGTTATTCGCAACGAATATTTGTAAACTCATCCAAAACTAATGAAAATTCGGATTTCGTCCGAATCCGAAACCCGAACCGAATTGAATTTTTGATCTGAATCCTGAAATAATGAAATATCCAAACTGAACTGAATTAAATCGAATTTTTCCGCATCTTGCATGTCTAGTTTTGAGTAGTTTTTGGCAAGGTGAATCTCATACTTATCTGTTATATCTTTCAGAGTTAGTTCTTATTGACTTCAAGTGTACCTGTGTTTTGTTCATGCCCATAACTACTTCCCTGAGCCTCCTCTACTCCTGGTGCTTCCGGGTATAAGGAATACGCACAGGGGAGAGCTGGGTGCCTTAGCTGCCAATTAGTAGGCGCTAGCGCAGTCACTTGAGCCCTAGTCCCTGTGTAAGTTCTGACCAGAACACCATGGAGTTTACACAAGGCTTCTACTCTTTGCTCCCAGGGATGAACAAGGCAGAAAAGTGAAGGGAAGCTAAGTATAAGTATAAGCTCTAGGGGCCAAAGTTTACTTTTGCCCTGTAAGAACATTCAGGGAAAATTCTCTTCACCAACATCTTGTAGATATGTGTACATTTGTGATGCCAATATCTATTTGGCACAAACATTTATATTATACGTTATTTTTACAAACATGTATAACACCCAGAAAGTTATTTTATCATACCCAAGAAAAATAGTAAGTTATGAACACTACCACTAAACCTACAACTAATCTCTACAACCTTCCTGTTCACTTATCACTAAACATACACCTAATATCTAACCTACACCTAATATCTAAATCTTTTTTGCTCAATTATCATTAAGTGGCTTTGTGCTCCGTCCATGTATCCCGGTTGGTACATGGACAAAGCCATTGAGGTGGAACCTGTATGCAGACAAAGCTACTGATTGGATGTCCCTTTGTCCTTGGCCATTAGGTTGCGACCCAAGTCGCACTGCAATGGAACGCACGACATTGGGGGACCGCGCATTCCTGTGCGGACGATTCAACTGTGGGCGGGAGGTACGTTTGGGGTGCCATTCAAATGAATGGCAAAGCAATGCACTACCCACACCAGAACGTGCAGTAGGTGCGATTGCGTGGTACAGTGCCTTAATCGCACATGATAGTTCCATTAACGCACTGTACTAGTGTGAACGGGCCCTCAAAAACACTGACAGACACACACAACCACAGACACAATCTCACATACTCACAGACATTCTCAACCACACACTCCCAAAAGAAATGTAATGTTTTTCTTTTTAAGATCCACCCAGTCTCCCTGCCTTATGAGAACTGGAGTGGATCCTCAGCTTGGGTTCCAGTGTGGGCTGCTGTGCTGTGACAGAGCTCCATCCATATGTGCATTGCTGGTACAGCTCCCTTGCATGCCCTGTAGAGGTGCCGGGAGCAAGGCTGTGACGTCACTCCGGTCCAGGCACCTCTATAGGACATGCGAGAGAGCTGTAAGCAATGCACATATGGATGGAGCTCCCTCGCGGCCATATCCCCAGCCCACCTCAAGTCGGCACTCGGCACCGGGCAGCATATTTTAAATGGCTGCTTGGAGGGAGAACTGACAGTGTTGCACTAGGGGGAGGCTGAGGAGGCTGAACCAAGGCATTAATGGATCCTCCCTAATGTAAAAAGATCAAATACATGCACCATCCATCTATAAAGAAACTACATTTTCATTATTATAATGTGTTAACATTTTGCTTTTTACAGTCGGCTCATGGCATTGCATGAAGATGAGAAAACCAATACATGGACAAGACAGGATATCTGTATGGGAGACAATACGGTCTGCGCTTTCCCGAAGCTAATAAACAAATACACCAAATACATCATCTCATTTGCAGAAGATGAAGCAGGTAACTCATTAAACAGACTGAGCCAAACCGTTGTGAGAGAATTTTCTCATTATCCAATCAGATTTTCTTCCCTCTGTAGGAGAAAACAAAGTATGTTGTTATGGCCATCTCATTAGACCCAGTAATCTTATCTGTGCTGTACATGGCTTCATGAAAACTTCACAGTACCCTCCCTCAGTACTTCTTTCAAGAGCCCTTAGTGCTGATGCAAGCAGTGGGCTGGTTCTTGTGAGGTGTTATGCAAATATCAAAATGCCTTGAGGTGTGGATGTCAGTCTGCAGCGGTGTGTGTTCTTAGGCAGGCTTCATTTGCATGCAGACCGCCCTAGGTAATGCCTACATGTGATTCTAGGCCTCCTTGACTGACAATAATGAAATTCAATAAATAGAAGGGGTGGGACAGTCAGGCTGGGGAGGAAAAATGCCAGATGGTGCTGGATATCCTCCAGCCAGGAAATAAGGCAGGCTACATCTGACTTGCTGCAGCTTCTAATGCACATTATGAGATGCTCATAGTGTGCCGTGAAAGCAGAGAAAGCAATGTCAGGAGTTAGTTGTACAGGAGAACAGCCTGTACAACTATGCAAGACTGAAGGGAAGCCTGGAGTTCAGCTTTAAATTGTATCTCCAGCCCCAATTATTTTTTAACTTTAGTACAGAGAATGGGATAAATTCGTTTTTAATGCTGTCTGTGGCCCGTTGGAGAAATTTCACTTCCCATCCTGGAGACAACAGCCTGCAATTCCAAACTGTCCTCATCCCCAGAAAGGTACTCCATTATTAAAGGAAAACTATGAGGTGAGTGAAAATCACTCATCCTCATAGTTGGAGCTGACGTGTGACAATGAAACTGTTACATGTCGTCTCAATAGATCGGGAAGTGAGTGAACACATACCGTCGCCCGCTCACTTCTACATCATTTCCCTGCAGAGACCCATGACTGTCAGTCACGGCTCCCTACAGGCATTCCCCCCTCCCCGCTCCGATCCTCCAGCGCTGACTGGAGGAATGGATGGGAGAGGGGGCGGGTACAGTTGGCTCCGGATCTAGATAGGCAGAGCCAGCTGTCACTCACGCAGCTGGGTGGATCTCGACAGTAATGTCGGGATCCGCCCCGACTGCGGGCGGTCTCAGTATACCGCGAGCTGTAGCTCGCGATATACTGAGCTTTGGGTCACGGGAGGATGCTAGTATATGTCCTTCTGTGACCCTAAAGAGAACTATGGGGAAACAACACTTAACCCATAGTTTTCTTTTAAGTCAGTAATATCATGTAAATGGCATAACTATCTTATGTCCTCTAAACTCTGTAATAATGAGCAGCAACCCCCAGTGACCAATCACAGATCACGGCATTCATGGCAAGAAATGTTTTTTGCTAGCGATGCAAACACACACACATCGACACAGCCACATTTACCTGCACATAAAATTAAACATATTTTTTCTTTCATATTCTGTATAGGGGAACTGTATTTTCTGTCAACATCGGATCCAACCTCGTTGTCTCCCTATGGAACCCTGTACCGTTTTGTAGACCCATCAAGGTTGGTATATATAGGGAATATTCTAGAAAGATGTTCATATTTCCTTAAAAATGCTGTTAAAAATGTAATTAAAGTGACACTAAACTCAGGAGTTAAATCTCAAAAATTCATTCCAGTACCTGAATTATTATTAAAAATCCTCAAATCATCTCTGAATTGGTGCTGACACTGTCCTTCCTTCTGGAGGGGGGATACTTTTGTTCCCCATGGACCCTGTGTGTGTTGCAAAGTAGTCACTGCTCCAAGCTTGCTCCCGTGATGGAGTACAATCTCATGTTTAGTTTACCAATTTGTATTGAGATTGTAGTCCATCACAGGAGCGAGCTTGGAGCCATGTCCTTTAGGAGCACTTACGTGTCACCATGCCCACCAACCAAGGCTGCACACTTTATTTAGTCCATGGTAATCTGCCCATAACATGAAAGGGCCAATTGGTTGTGCTTGTCCTTCAGACCAAAGTTTCCCAGTCCACCCCCGATAGATAGATAGATAGATAGATAGATAGATAGATATTACTGAAGGGAGAGAGAAGGAAAGATGGTGCATTGTGGATGGGATGTTGGGACCCTTAGGCCCCGTTCACACAGAGCGATTTATCGCGCAGTAATTCCTGCGATATCGCGGCTATTTACCGTGCGATATCGCTCTCCAATGCAATCCAGTGGGGCTCTGTCCGTCGCTGTCGAGGGTCGGGCGTCGCTACAGCAGGACCCTTTTTGGAGCGGATTTTGCCGCGATTCTAGCTTGCTCAATGCAAGCATTTGCGCGATATCGCTCAATGTGAATGGGGCCTTAGGGTTCCCATGTCAATGATTCAGGATTATGCTTTACGTCCAACATAACTCAGTGATTACATGGCACACTCTAATACATTTCACCTGTTGTAATAATGTTAAAGTTGCAATGTAAAACTATATCTATAATGAAATCTACAATGCGATACAAGCTCTTGCTGGATCATATCTGTACAAATGCTCCTCTCAGATGTTTTTCTCCTGTTGGGAAACATACACATGTTCTCCATTGGAGGTACTCATTACAGCCATAATCAGAGTGTACTTCCTTTGAGGATCCATTATCCTTTAATACATACTTCCTTTCTGTGTCCTTGTTTTCAATTAAGAGTCAAGCATGTATATATCACTTTTATGTAAATACAACAGAGTAGATAAAGATGGGGGTAAACTGGGGCCCCATTGTCTGACTACTGCAGGCCCTCTAACATTTCCCAGTTGTATATTTCTACCTTTTATTATTCCATAAACATATGGACCCTCTAGGCTCTCGCCAGACCTTTCATATCAACAATAATGATTCCCATAAGATTATATATGCATTCATTTTATTTTATTGCATGTTGTATACTTGTAAAAACCTACCTTGGGTAGACATTCAAAAGCCCTGAGACATTCAAAAGCAGCTGAGTGTCACCATCTTGGATGTCATTTCTTCAGCCCCCACAAACTCAAAACTTCACTCAAATTACAATTTATAGTATTCCCCTTTACTCCTCACCTGGGAGCTACATAAAAAGTTATGTAGAGACGTAAGGGGAGGGGTGGAGAGGGCTATGACGTGCAAAGGAAGAAGGGGGCTGTGCTAGGGGATTTACTCTCTAGGAGAGGTCTAATTTTTCAGCACTTTCAAAGTTACATTGCAAAAATAATCTAGTGACAGTGACTCTTTCAATAAACTTTTTGGGACACTGAGAGATGTTCAAGCGTAGAATATTTTTTACTGTATGGTGGGTCATGGTGGAGATATCATGCTGCTGCTGTAATGGTGCAGTTTTTATGGGGCAGAGAGATTCCGGTGGCCCTTAAAAATAATGGACCCTTGGCAATTGCCCAGTTTGGCCCCCTTAAACGCCAGCCCTGTAGGAGAGTTAGTGCTTAGTTCCCAGACTCTTGGACACTCAGGTACTAAGCAGGCATGCAGAGGTGTAACAAATTGTGCCCCTGGTGTCCTACCCAGGTTCTGCCAAACAGTGACATCACTGGTTGCCAGGAACTGGGCAGGATGCCGGCCAGTTTGTCCCAGGTTGCTAAGAGCTGTTTGAGGAGATGTTTAAGGGCCATACCCATCTCCAGAGCCAGCTCTTTGCAACCTGGGAGGCTCTGCCCAAAATCCCACCTGCATACACATCCTCATGCCCCCTCTGGTGCATCCAGTGCATATGCCATACCCTGGATATGCCACTGCAGGCATTGTCTGTATGCTTTTGATTGGTGAAACCAATATATGAAATTGACCCAGTCAGTTACTAAGTCAATTATTAAGTTCTCTTGCTGTGTACATAACTCTATTTCTTTTCAGGAGAGCGCCTCCTGGCAAGTGTCGTTATAAACCTACTCCAATAGGGACCAGAAGTAAAGTCGTCCCATTTGTTCCACGTGAACGTAAGTAGATATGAATACCCAGTTCTGTTATTCATATGATCACCAGCTGATCCATCCACTTATATGAATACCAATTAACATTACATTTATTTTTACCAAACGGAAGGAAAAGATTAAAAACAGTGATATGCTTGGGAGATGCTAAAAAACGCTACATCAAGTTGCAGAGAAGTACAATGTACCCCTTTAAAGTAGAACTTCAGGGAAAATTCTCCTTAACCCTTGTAGAGGGGCTACCCTTGCACCGCAAGGGTTAAGTGCCCATGATTGTATAGGTTTAGAAATCACAAAGTTATACTCACCAGATTCTCTGAGCCGGCTTGCTCTTAGACCAGTCCCTGGATGCTCGCACCCCCACCCCACCTGTTATCCTTGCCAGCATGTTTACAGACAGAAGCTGGACGATGATCCTGTCATGTCAATGACAAGACAGAATTCCGGTTCGGACAGGTGAACTGGCCAAATTTGACTAGTTTATATGCCCATTCGATGAACTTGGCTTGGTCCGGGTCAAACACGTTCAACCTGTACCCCATGCTTATCCCAAACACAGAGAAAATTCACATCCAGCACCCCTCCTGTTTGGAGGGTAGATAATTCAGTGCTCATTTCATACATTATAGGTTTTGCTAGTCATCCATGTTTCTCTTCAGTTACATTATCATAAAATTCATTGTGTCATGCCTATATGTATATTTAATCCACCTCAGGTATATTAAGTAAGTTTGTTTGCATTATATAGATGTCAACAAGAAACACCAGATGGACTGTGATCCAATAACTCTTTCTTCGACCTACATTTATATAGTGCACATACTGTATACAGATATCTAAATTTTAGTCCCTCAACAGCTCATAGTACGTTTGTTCAGACTAATGGTTTCCTGCATTTCCTTATAGCCATGTTCTCATTAGCATAGACACACTTGCCCAACTCCTTGTACACAGGGATCTTTTGCCATACAAATCTTGCAAATCTTGCCAAATGCTTTAGTTTTCCTTTGTTAAGCATGGAGCGGTCTAATTTGGGCCCATGACAGCATGCACTCACAATATGTCTTCAATCTTTCATGTTGAATTGAGAACATCTTGTGGCAGAGACCAGAGTTGGGCTTTATAGAAGACAGCACAGTAGTGTTTTAAATAATATTATTAATAATAATGAAAAATTATAATAAATTATACAGTACTTATAAATTAGCCAGTACTTAAAACCCTGAACATAGCATTTATTTGAATATTGTACCAAAATAAAAGCCTTTTTTTGTCCTGATTTAGATGATTTAGGTAGGAAAGTTAGGTGAATCTTCCTTATGCATTGTTTTAAATGCTAGTGACTGCTTCACCACCAGGCAGGGCCATCTTTAACGCAGGGCAAAAGGGGCAGCTGCCCAGGGCCCAGTCATTGTTGTGGGGCCCAAAGCAGCTGCCCCTTGAGCAGATCCTGCGCTTCAAAACTCCTACCACTGGCCCTGCATCTCAGCACTGACAGCAGAGTGATGGATGATCGCAGCGCAGATGACACAGAGAGAAGAGCTGGGTGGATTCCCTCCCCCTTCAAGCTGTGTATATGTGTGTGCTGGAGGAGGCGGCTCTGCTATGACCTGGACACCTGTTCACTGGGC